TCTATATATTATAAATAGTATCACATTTTAATAAGTGGTCTGAAATAGCCATAAGTATAATACGAAAAACAGAAAGTTAGTCAAGAGTTGTATTGACAGACTTGTGTCTTAACGCTAGTGCTATTCAACGCTCGACTTGGCTTAACACCGATGAGAGATTAGTACTTCAGCGTAATTACTAAGATACAGTCTGATAAAAACAAAACTATATGGCTAATACAAATGACCATCATTTTTGCCTTGTTTAATAATTGAATATAAAGATTTTATCATGCTTATTTTAATATAAATATATATTATTACATTACAATTGTATATAATTGAAACAAAATTAATGGTTTTGTTAATTGTATTATTCATTATAAATATTATCGTTTTAAGAAATTTAATTATTTTATGTTATTTGATTATATTGGCAATTTATTTCGTCATACATTGAATTAATAATAAATTATATATAACTTTGTATAAAATATTGATGCCATATATAGATGCTAAATATTATTAATTAATAGCAAACATCAATAATAAACAAGTTTTAAAACTGTATTAAATATAACTTTACCCGAGATTCAATTAGTTAGTTTATCATAAATTTACCATCTTCATTTAAGAATAGTTGTATTTCATTGATTTATTTACAAGATTTAAATTTATTTGATAAATATAACATTACATTTAATTTTCAAAACGGTGTTTTACTACCATGCAACTTGTATTTACAACATAACACGTTATGCATACTAAACACTTTTACAAACTGTAATTGTTTAATACAGATCATTTCGACAACAATATATAGAAAATTACAATAAATAATATTAATTGGTCCTAAATAGTCATATAAAATATGTGCTGGATGTTTCATTGCCAGTGAACTAGGCCAATGCCTGAACAAAACAAGTAAATTGTATGACTGTTACAAATGACAAAGATTTTTGTAATATGGTTGTTTATTTATATTTTTCACTGATTTTATATAACATATACTTATTATTTTTATATTTATTCATGTTATAAAGTATACATCAATTTTATTTCATTTTTAATTCAACCTTTATTAATTACAATTGTTATTAATAATTATTATTTTTGTAAATAACAATTTTCAGTAAAAATTGCATCGTGTTATTAATGCCCTAATATATCAATGCTAATTAATAACCGATATAAATAATAAACACAAATTGAACACAACTGGTCAAACTAGCAATGATTTATTTATGGGAATTACAGGCGTATAATGTATGCGATAATTCAAATAATATAGTGCTAGATTTAAAAGTTTATTTATAATTATTACATGTGGTGTAAATATAGTTAAATACAAAAATAAATGTTTTTAATTAAAATCACACATAAAGGGCAGTTCACTAATCATGTAGAATGGACTAAAAACAATGACAATTGATTGTAAATTATAATCTATGTAAAACATTTATTTATTCATTGCTTTATTATAAAGGGGTACACGTATTGATTAAATTTATATTATGGACCATAATTTATGGTAAATATAAAGTGGTATTAATAGTGATTGTGTTTAGCGTTATCTAAATGGTTAGGCGTTGTTAACGAGTTGTATCTAAAATTGTTATTTTGAATAAATATGTGTTAAAACATAAATTATTTGATTTGTTATTTTTGTTGAGAGAGAGAGAGAGAGAGAGAGAGAGAGAGAGAGAGCGATTAAAATGAATAGGAATTTACTTCCTATGACTTTGTATTTTTTACATACATGTGTTGTCTATTACCCCTACCCCTCCCCCCTCTTCACCCATCGATATCATGATATACACCAAAAACAGCCATAAGTTTATTGAAACTAAATTATGTCATCGAAAGTATTGATAGAAATCATGGCTTTTAATATAATTTAATAATTTTTATTATTGTTTTTTTTTTTGTAAAAATAGTTTTATATAAATATTAATAATATTACTTTCAATTATGGCCAACAGCTAACTTGTAAGGGCATAAATGTGATCAAGATTTAATTGGTAATAGTAATAATGCAATGTAAATTACGTTAATTAATTGAGTGAGTGAGAGAGAGAGAGAGAGAGAGAGAGAGAGAGTTTGTGACAAAAATTTAAAATAAAATTGATAGCAATTATCGATAAGATATAAAAATCTATTTAAATAAAATTATAAATATTATTAAAACAGTATACATAAGGTAAAAATTTATTGAGTATATAAGTCTATGTCTGGAAAGCATATTTTAATTGAGATAAAAGTTGTTTTACATATATTTTTAATTATGTGTATAATTAATGCAAACATTTTTTAAACAACTTTTTTGAGTGTATTTATATAAGGTATTGATTTAATCGCTTAAAAATATAAAACTATTTAAATATTTTAATTATCGACATAACTATTACTGATAATACATGTTTGTAAATATGGTATCAATGAATAAATTATTTAAAATACATTAACATTCATATCAATATATAGTGTTAAATAAATTAATATTCATGATAAATTATGATTGTAAAATTGGTTTGTTACATTTGGTAAAACTATACACTATTCGTATAGTGTATTAATTGTACGGATAATTGAGTTTTAATCAAATAAATCTCAAAATATAATAAAATAATAAATAACATTAGCAAAAAATATATTAAATTTTAAACAAAAATTAATTGTTAAAATTTTTTATCTTAAACTTATTTTTAAATCAAATAATTAATTGGAGAGAGAGAGAGAGAGAGAGAACGAGCATCTAGCACGTACAAAATATTTATTTTTATTCACATAAATCATAAATATAATAATCTATAAATATATTTTACAAATTTAGGATTTTTTGATCATAAAATTATTTATTCATTTTTTATCAATAGACACAAAACACACATAAAAAATATATTAATATAATAACGTATTGACAGCTGTAATACATAAGCAATTGACCTAACGGTGCTCTCCCTCCCCATCAGGTGCTCTCTCTCTCTCTCTCTCTCTCTCTCCAATTAATTATTTGATTTAAAAATAAGTTTAAGATAAAAAATTTTAACAATTAATTTTTGTTTAAAATTTTAATTAAGTTTTGCATTGAATTTTAAATTGCATTTTACTTTTATTTTTATAGGTATACACAACTCGTTAGCGGAATATTCTGTACCAGAATTTATTCTGATTGAGAGAGAGAGAGAGAGAGAGAGAGAGTAGTATCAAAACAAAAGTATTTGTTAACATAATTATGCATGAAATTACAGTACGCCATAGGATTAACATTGCATTTAAACCATAATAAATACCATAAATGAATGTAATATTTTCATAGTTCAGGTACGTCTATATCTGGATTAAATTTATTACTGTTTACAATACTCCAAATATAATAATGATAAATTAGCTCAACCACGTTCACAATACTGCGGACACAACCAGAATATTCTGTACGACACTATACTAAAGTATACCGTATTTTAATCAAATAAATATGCGACAGAAATAACAATAAAAACTAAGTATAAAAATCAAAAACATTGAAAGAAACGCGTTTTGAATGCATTTTAATATATCATAGGATTATGTTTTTACAAATAAATTGAAGTGAATTCTCGACTCAATATAATACATATTATATGATATTTTATTATCACATAAATCACCGGTACATAAATCAGTGCCGCATTCCCATTAACTACCGGTGCCAATGATTGAACATCTAGATTATTATTTGATATATAAGGTAGTTTTTACAGAGAGTAAATCCCGGTATAATATACTGTGTAATGAAGTTTTGCATTGAATTTTAAATTGCATTTTACTTTTATTTTTATAGGTATACACAACTCGTTAGCGGAATATTCTGTACCAGAATTTATTCTGATTGAGAACAGCGCCAGAATTTTTGCCGTTAGTTATATAATTAAAATTATTTTTATTTTACCATGATTTTCGTTTCTGAGTTTGATGTATGTCGTATGTAATATAAATTTAAATTATTGTTTAACAGTATTATACTTGTTAAATATTTTACAATACTGTATTTACGTTGAGTTTATCATTAATTTATACATTTACTGAATACTAATTTAATATAAAATAATTTTAATATTGTAAGTAACTTAATAATTAGTATACTTATTTAACACCAATAATAATAATATTAAAATGATATTCTTTGTAAATCATAAACTTTTCATATGTTTAATAATATAATCACTTTTTATGTAGTACTAAATAAATGATCATGGTTTGAATATTTAATTATATAATTTATTATATTTAAAATAATTGCAAATTCAATTTAAATTTTACATGCACAGAATTGCTCTTATTTTTGAGATAGCACATTTAAATAAGTGAGTACCTTGATTACTGTATTTTATTTTATAATATTCTAGAATATCTCTGCCATTATATTAAAGCCTTGAGCAAATTGAACTGGTAATTTAAAATACATTATTGGTTTTTATTTTAAATAAGTCTCAACTATTCTAGTTCAATTTACGTTTATTGTTATTATTATCTATATAATATTACATAGACTTTTCATTATAAAGTAGTATTTTCTAATAGACGGTTATGTCATCTATTGAACATGTTCATAAACACTTACACACTATTATTTAGTTTTTATATTGTTTAATTATATTTATCTATGTTAATACTTTCTAAATTAAAAATTTTATCAAAATTAAGACTAGAGTATTAGTAACTAATTAAATATATTCGAGCATGCTATCTTAAGTGAAATTAAAACTTGTTAGTTTTGAAGATTTTTAATTGAATGTGAGAATAATATATTATTTAACCCGATTGTTGTATCAGAATATACAAATTAACTTCCTTTCTCCATTTATTAAAACATGATCATTCTACATAGATTATTATTATTAACCTACATGTAACAAGTTGACTAAAATGTTGACTTTAAAAAATAATATTTACAATAAACATAATTTCAAAAGCAAAACTAAAGTATATTAAATATTATTTTTAATGACATTATGCTTTTACAAATTATATTTACATTAATGTTATTTTTCGCGATTTGTCAAGGTAATATAAAAACAACCAATATCATTTACTAACTATTGAATTCTCATTTAAAATTAATCAAGGTGGCGATAGACTTGGTTTACTATACGCCGAGTATGACGATTGTGTTGGCTATTTCACCAGGATCATACGCCGAGCCGAGTTCAACACCAATGATGCCCAGTGCAATTCAACATGGCAAAACTACGGGGCAAGTGATCAGGCTGTTGGCTATAGGCATGGTCATAAGACAAGAATCATATCGGTGTTAAACACAATAAACATGGATATATCAGGTATGTCTAATATTTGTTATAATTAAAACTGTTGACATTAAAAATTTGGCCTATTTATTAACCAGTATAAGCAAGATAATTCAATTATTACAGTAAAATAAATTTATTTATTTAAAGTTTACAGTTTAAAGCAAATAGTAATAATAATTAAATAAGCTGTTTTAATGCAATTTATTAGATAAATTTTGATTAGTTAGTCTAATAAATCTACTAGCTTAATATCCTAATGTATTAATAACAGTTGTCTTATATATAACTACATATTTGTTAAAATGTATTTGTTAAAATAAATAATAATAATAATAATTACAAAAAAAAACTGATCACGATAGATGTGTTGAGAGCCAACATAACTAAATAGTTTTAAATATATATGTATGGTACAATTATTTAATAAATATTAACAGTTTGTTGCCAATTATTAGTAAAATAAAAGCAATGTTTTTAATATAAATGAAACTGACTAAAATTGAATTGAATAAGTGTACTAGCAGTAATTGGCCCATATTAATTAATAATTTTTAAATATTACTGGAGATTAAAAATATTTAGTAATATTTTACAGTATGTTAAAATTTTTACTAGTAATCATTATATTTAATTAATTAAACAAAAGTTATTAGAATTAACTAATACTATGTAAATAAAAATTAATGCACATGTAGAAGTAGAATTAAATTACCACAAGTAGAATTAAATTATTATTTGTTTCTAAACTGACCAAGGTAACGAATGGTTCTACGGCGCGGGTACAGTAGTGGAGGGCCAATGTATGGGCGCTCTTATATTTGTACAAAACGATGTCTACAACCGGAACGGATCATGTGATCGGTCCACAGGTGTTATGGATGTCATGTCTGACGTGAATCAGGCGTTCATTGATATGAGGGGTCAGTCGTGTGCCACCCGTTGTAACGGAACCGTATGGTTCAGATACAGACCCGGAAAGACATCGAATTGAGTTTAACCTATGAGTTAATTAAATGTTGCTAGCTCATATATTTAAAAATTTTAATTTATCGTGTTTTACATTTGTTTATTTTATTAAAATTATTTATTTATTAAACTAAACATTAAATGAGTGTTAAATTAAAATGTCGACAATTTTTGTATATCAATCAAATTTCATATTATTAATAGTATCAAGTTGGTTTTAAATTAACCTCAAAATATTTTCAGTAACTATTTCTTACTACAATTTAGATTACAATAATTTTAGTTTTGTTACTAATAAGTAAATACATTTTAACACAATTTCTTATAAATTAGTTAATATTTTTTTATAAACTTGAAAGCCAAAATAATAAATGATTAAAAATTACTGATGATCATTTTATATAATACAGCGATCAATTATATCCCATTATAAACAAATCATTTTAACTATTACTGGAAATTAAAACTATTAAATATAAATAACAGTTTAAAAAATTATAAGATTAAAAATCATACTTTAATAAATATGATATATAAATTAAAACTTAATGATTTTATGTTAACTAAGTAAGTTAATGAATATTTTAAAATTCTAACAATATAAAATAATTTGCTTAATAAATTGTTTAATTTTAACTCAGCATTTAGTTAAAATAGAAAGTTCTAAAGAAAATAGTAATGATATATTTAAATGCAATTAATTCATGTAGATTGATTAGATTTCTAATTATGATCTAGAATACTTTGTTGATACTTGGTATAAATAATAAATATTATTTGTTACTAAAATCTGTATTTAAAAATTATTACATTCAAGTTATTCAAGACCCCAACATATTGTAAATTTATTTAGCTTATAAATAATTTATAACTAGACATATAGTATTTTACAGTTTTAATTAATTAAAATAAATATTACATAATATTATAAATATTTGTCATATAATTACAGTTGATTACAATTAATAAGTAATATGAATTAAACCTAATTTTTATAAATAAAACTCATATATGTTTTATAAAATTAGTAATTCAAATGTAATACAAAATGGATTGAAGTTGTAATAATTATTTCACCATGATCATACACCATGGCATAATTACTCTGCCAACAAATAAGCTGTTAGCTATAGACCATGTCATTAAATATGTGATTATATAAGTTATAATAAAACAATTACAATAGTTTATTGTTTATCAAAATTAAATGTGCTTGCTTAATAAAATATTATTCAACATAACTCTAAAAGCATAAATATTACGGCAAATAAATATGGATTATTTTAATTACAGTTTAAAAATTAAAACAATAATTAATACTTTGTTTAATACAATGAATCTATTTGTTCATTAAAGTGTAATAAATTAATTTTAAAATTAACTGTAGATTAAAATTAATTAAATAAAAGTTTACACTTTGTAACACAAATAGTAACTATACTTAAATGGGCTTGTTAAATAAAAATCTAGTTTAATTTCATTGTATTCCAACAAAATTAAAAAAGTTTAAATATTATTGTAGATTAAATTTTTTGATATTTATTTTACAGTTTGTTACTAATTGTAAATAAATTAAAATTAATAATTTTTATTATGCAAACTTTTACATATGTTTTTATAATATAGTAAACAAAAACAAAATCTACTTCATAATTAAATAAAATAATTTAATATAATATCGCAAATACTATAAAATCCAAGATTATTAATCCTCTTCTAAATATTACTGTGTATTTAAAATATTTGAAAATATTTTACAGTTTAATAACAAATACTAGTTATCGTTATATTTAAATACAAAATATAATAAACTGTAATTAATTAATTGACAAATATTTTCAATTATATATTATAAATAATATCACATATTAATAAGTGGTCTTAAATAGCCATAGGTGTATGGATTGTATTCACCAAGTTGTCACCTGACCCAAGTACTAACCTAACCAATGCTCGATTGCTTAACCTAGGTGATCGAACGATTCTTTCAAGGAATTGTACTGTAGTCTAATATAAAAACAAAACTATATGGCTGCTACAAATGATCACAATTTTTAATGTGTTAATAATAAAATACAAAAGTTTCATTGTGTATAATTTAATATAAATATTTGTTAATTTATACTAAAATTAATGGTTTGTTTTAATTGAAGTTTATTTAAATATTGTCATTTTTATTAAATTTAATTATTTTATGTTATATAATTATATTAAAAATTTGTGTATTTTTAATTATTTCAAAAATTTATACAAATAACAAATATGTTTAGACGAGCCTGTTGAATAATATTAACTAGATTGTACGAAACTCCAACACAATTAATAAGATTTAAACATTATTGTAATTTAAGTTTTTTGAAGATTACTAATTGCATCCAAATTAAAATTAACAATTAATTATAAATTAAACTTATACTTTTATAAGATTGTAAACAAAATAACATATATGAGATGATTAAATTTTTTATCTCATAATTAAATGAGATTGTTTAATAAAATACTGTATCACAATTAATAATCCAGAATTATTAATCCATTTCTAAATATTATTGTATATTTGAAATATTTAAAAATGTCTTACAGTTTAATAAAAAATGTTAGTAACAAATACATTTAAATAACCATAATCTAATATAGCTAAATATAGTTATTGTGTATATACAGTATACCTTATTCAAACGTGCGGTGAAAGTGGCCAAATTATCAGTGACTCTCCCTTTCACTGCACCCCTACTTTCCCTGCATTACACGGGGCTCTGTGCTGTACTCTCAAGAGCCCCGTGTAATGCAGGGAAAGTAGGGGTGCAGTGAAAGGGAGAGTCACTGATAATTTGGTCACTTTCACCGCACGTTTGAATAAGGTATACTGTACTAACCATCATTATACAGTTTTAACAAATACAAAATGTTTATAAGTACATTGAATTATAATCAATTGACAAATGTTTATAGTATATTAGAAATAATTAAACTAAAACTAACATAATTTATTATATACAAAACTTAAATATTTTGATTAACTTGATAATTAAGGTAACAAATAAATCAAAAGAAATTGGAATAGTTCAATGAAATACTTAATGAATATTCTGAGCCCAATAAACCAGTAATATTTAATAATTTTTACTATTAATACTGATTAAAAATATTCACTTTAAGTTTACAGTTTCAAAATATATACAATTTAAAAAATTAATTCACATTATTTTAATTTACCACAAGTATAACTAAAAGATTATTTTTCTAATCTCAATATAGAAGTGGGCAGTAGGAGGAGGGGGTGGCCGAGCGATCCTATAAATCACAGCTAAATATTATCCATAGCTAAATTGTGGTTAAAAATATAACAAACTGTAATTAATTAATTGACAAATTTTATTCGGCTATATATTCTAAATAATATCACACTTTAATGAGTGGTCTGAAATAGCCATGGGCTTATAAATAGTATAATCCCAAGTGGTCTCCTATCCCAAGTACTAGCTCTAGTAACTATAGAGTCTCAAACAAAACTATATGGCTGCTATAAATGACCACCATTTATTTTACCTTATTTAATACGGTATTAATATTTTGTTTGTGTTATCTAATGAAATTTGCTAATATATTTTAATTTAGTATTGTACGTGTTAACAATAATTCAGATGTGTCATTGATTATGTGTTTTATAAGATCATTTGGCTCTTATGGGACTAATGCTAATCCTACGGACAATGCTAAGTCTGTGGGACTCGTATTAAATCTGCTGATAATGCTAATCAATTCTTTGAGCATCACCCGAATTATTGTTAAAATATATTGATTTAAGTTATTTATTTATTAAAATTAATTTTGTATAATTGTTAAATGTACTTGTATATTATATTAAATTAAATGCTCTATAGTGAGTAAGTGCTATGAGAGCTCCAGGAGAGGCTTATTGCTGTGTAATTTATACTCTATTCAGGTATTACTCACATATAGTGTACCTGAATATAAGGAGTGGAGTTTTTAATGAAAACTTAAATTATATTTATAATAAAATAAAATAAACACAATAAAACAACAGGGCACATTATGACTATAATAAATGTAACGATTATAACGAATAATAGTTTACAAAATATCAAGGTAACGCAAAAACCACGTCATGTTATAAAGAGCTAGAGAACAATCTTACTCTATAGTAACGGTGCTCAAAAAATACACTAGAGTACACATAGCATAAAACCCTTGTATTGTAATTTATACACTATTCATATGTTACTCATATATAGTGTACTCTTTTATAATAAATATTTGAAAAACTTCTTGGTGATTCAATAACCACGTCATGCTTATAATGTCCCCTATTTCAACCTGAACGCTTTTACTCTATAGTCATTTGAAAAATACTCTGTATTCAGTATATAAATAAAAAATATTATAAACTGTAATAAATTAATTGAAAAATTTTATTCAAATATATATATATATATAAATAATATTACATGTTAATAAGTGGTCCGAAATAGCCATTATGCATTCTCTCTTGTTACCATTAGAAAATTCCCTGGTACTATCCCTGGTACAACGCTCGACGCTGCTTAACCTCGATGAGTAACCCGTACGTTCAACGTGATAATGGCCGTAGAACCTGGTCTACAACAACACTATATGGCTAATACAAATGACCACAATTTTTTAACGTTTTCAATAATTAAAACTAACATAATTTGTTATATATAAAGTATGAATATTGTTTACAAGTTTAATAATAAAGGTAACAACTAAATCACAAGTAACTGGAATAATTTAGTTTAGTGAAATAGCTAAACAATCGATTGCTTTATGCCAGTATTATTTATTAATTATTAATATTACTGATAATTAAAAGTTTTTACTTTATGTGTACAGCTTTAAAATAAATGCAATTTAACAAATTAAATCACATTACTTTAATTTACTATAAGTAAAACTAAAAGATTTTTTTAAATACTAAACTCAATAAGGTAACAAATAGTTCTACAGTGCAGGTAGAGTAATGAATGGACAATGTATATGTCT